CGAGAAGCCAATGACGACGTTCCAAAACAGGGATAAACACCTGCAATCATAAGTAATAATTCATTTATTTGCGCACTTATTTATGAACACCTTTAAAAAATTTAAAAAATAAACACCAACTTTATCGACCTCCCACCATGCAGGATAAAGTTTAGCTTGTCCATTGCCCAACGAAAATGATTCATCTCGTTGATTCTTCAAGTGAACTGCGTGAAAAGCTGCCGACATTATTGTATATCGCGAATATTTTTATTTTTCCTAAGCTTCCTTATTATTAGAAGACGTGACACCCACGCATCGATATGCTGTTTTACAAAAAAAGACATATATTAGTGAATTACATTAATTTTTAAAAAATTAATCAAAATCATATATAAGACAAATATAAGACTTACCTCCCCATCAAAATAGCCACTGTCTTCAACCCCTAATAACACACCCCACCAAGACCGATTAAGCAACAAATACATCTCATCGTTGAGTTTGCTTATGTCAGTGTAACACCCTTGGCTCCGCTCATGTAGATAAAAATCAACTGCGGTCTTAGCCCAAAGGGTATTATCTAGAATTATTTCCGGTAGTTGTCTCCTCTCCACTTCAGATACCGAAAGGGTACTAGCCGGTAACTCATACGAGAGCCAACTCTCATCCATCATGTCCGGCAACGGTGGGGGTTTCTCAATAATTTGATATATTACCCCATGTGAATCGGGCTCTGGAATGGTGGGAGGGACCTCTTCAACGATGACAGTGGCCTCTTGAACGGTGGGGGAGACTCTTGAGGGATGATAGGAGCCTCTTGAACGATTAGAGGGGACTCTTAAGGGATGACAGGTGAGTCGGACTTCTTCTTGCGGAGTCTTTGCACCATTGGGGTGAACGGAGACGTAATAGCACGTGCACACCGTCTGATACGTGAACTCCGTCGTGCAAGGAAAACCCGACGTAAAACATCCACATTATCGGGCCGCTAAAAAAAATTAATACATAAATCAGTAAATAAACAGACATGATATTAAACAAAGACAAATATGTTTCAAACTTGCATTGTATTCACCCAAGTCATTATTCTATCATAGTTCACAAAATGCATCAGATAACATTCCAGAAGTAAGCACTTATATAAACATTTAAAAGGACAACATATATAAACATTCCAGAAGAAGAATAGTTTACTTTTGCAATACGAAACTTACTTTCGCAACGCGAAAATGACTATCGCAACGCGAAAATGGCTATCGTAACGCGGAAATGGCTATCGCAATGCGAAATGAAAATCGCAACGACAAAATCGCAATGCGAAATGAAAATCGCAACGACCAAATCGCAACGCGAAACACAAATCGCATTGCGATTTTCATTTCGCGTTGCGATTTGGTCGTTGCGATTTTCATTTCGCATTGCGATTTTGTCGTTGCAATTTTCATTTCGCATTGCGATTTTGTCGTTGCGATTTTCATTTCGCATTGCGATAGCTATTTCCGCATTGCGATAGTCATTTTCGTGTTGCGAAAGTAAACTGTTATTCTTCTGCAAATTGAAACTTAAATGGATTGCATTACTTCAACCAAAAGACAAAACCAAAACAAATACTAACAAAAACAGTTTAGCAGTATTGGCAGCAACCGAATGAATTTATTAAGCAATCTAAGTGAAATGGTTAATCTAAGTGAAATTACGAGTAAATTTATCATCAAGTTAAATATGAAAAATCTTAAACTTACCTCGTTGCGTATAGTATGAACCTCATTCTGCAACGATGCTACCATCTCACGTAGAACAGCTACCTCACCGTGTAAAGTAGACACCTCAACACGCCATGCACCATCGTCTTTGCGTAAAGTACCGACCTCCTCACGCAAGGCATTGACCTTAACACGTAACTCCCCTAACTCATCCCGTGGAGGTGGAAGTGGAGAACAGGGAGATAAACGTCGTGGTAACTTTGCCGGTCGCCTATCTTGCGGTGATGGTGGAAAAGAGGCTCGATGATGTGACAGAATAGGTGATGACTGTCGTTGTGGAGGTGTATAGTCGGGTCGATCAGATGATGGCTCTGGGTGAGGTAATAGCTCTGTGTAAGGTGATGACTCTCGAAGTGAAGGCTGCTCATCATCCGTGCCATCAAAAAAACGTTTACTAACTTTCCACCAATCAGAGACAAGCTCAGCTTCCGTGGGTGTCAGCCTCTGTAATGGAGTGTTGGCCTCCTAACAATATAAAAGCACAAACAAAGTTAAACGTGTACTAGTAATAACTTGTTTATAAACATATGGTAGTATTTATGTTAACTTACATTATTTATTGTCGTATACCGTAGTAAATCTTCCCATTGCAATGTCTGTTTCCTCTTCCAGGAAATAGCCCTGGGAATATCATTTGAAGTTTTTATTGCATATGTCTTCATGGCGGGAAAGGTCTCAAATATCCAAATCTACAAACAATATAATAACAAACATTAATAATTGTTAAATAATTACTTATAATTTTGGAAACATTATATAAAAATTCTTACCTTAAAGGCCCAAATAAAGCCTGCCAAAGTGTATTTAGAACCATCACCATGCAAACTTTTTCGATCATCCAAGGCAGACGATAACTTATTCCATGTAGCTTTCCATAAATACGAGCCCCACAGAAACAAGTTCCACACATTTAGGTCTTCTACCAATTTGATTAGATCATTCGGAATAAGTTGTCTGGCCTCTCTGCCTAAAAAGCCGGCATGCAAAAGTATTAGAAGGCATACTCGGACAACATCGACGTCATCCATCCGAGTAAAACCATATTTCTTATTCAATAATCTCGTCAGGTCTTCCACGTATAGATTCGGCCTCTCTAGCTCAGGAAAAACCCGAGATAACCATGATGGGCGAGTAATGTGTCTATTGTACCGACCTACATCATCGTGTCCGAAGCGTAGACCGGTGATTAAGCAAAACTCTTCCCGCCCAAAACACGTATACGCCGGTGGAAAATCAAACCATATCTCTTCATCACGACGTTGTATAGTATCTGATAGATCGCTAGTCATGGTTTGAAGAAACAGTTGTGTCAACATCGCATCTCCACCGGGATGTTGTACTTTCAGCCATGGCCCGAAGCAAGTATCCTCAAACATTTTTCTTTGTGCAGGTGAAAGCTTCGACGCAATTGTTTTGGCCATGCTGACTTTATTTCTTAAGGTCAATTGAGTCGAATAAAAGTTCTACAAAAACAATAAACATACTAAGTTAGATATACCAAAAACTACACTGTGAAGATATACCAAAAACAATAATAAACATAAAGAGTAGTAGTTTATTCTTCAAACTTAAATTTGCAACACTGTGAATTTCTTATTTGTCTTTGTTTTTTGGTTGAAGTAATGCAATTCATTCAAGTTTCAATTTGCAGAAGAAGAATAGTTTCTGAAAATGAAAATCGCAACACGAAAATGACAATCGCAACGCGAATTTGACTATCGCAACGAGAGAATAAAATCGCGTTGCGATTTTGTCGTTGCGATTTTCGTTTCGCGTTGCGATTTTTGGTTGATTTAATAAGCAATCTAAGTGAAATGGTTAATCTATTATTGAAATTACCAGTAAACTTATCATCAATTTTAATATGAAAAACCTAATAATAATGCAAAAATTTAATAAAGAAAATAATTAAAAAAACTAACCCTCGGTGGTTGATTTGGTTGATTTTCCATTTCTGATTGTGAGGGTGGCTCTGAGAGATGGAGATAGACGGATTTCGCCGGAGATGGGGACGGATTTCGTCAGAGATGGGTGAGAGAGTGAGAGATGGAGATGGGACTGAGTTGTGATTTTAGGTTTTAGGTTATGAGTTGCGATTACGGGATATACTGTGGACGGTTCAGTGTTCCAATATATTAATATTCGTGTTTGGAATTTGAAAATAAAATACGCTTTGCGATACTAATGGTGCTTTGAAAATCGCATTGCGATTATGTATTATCTCGTTGCGAAAGTCAGTATCGCGTTGCGAAAGTAAGTATCGTGTTGCGAAAGTCAGTATTGCGTTGCGATTTTGTATTATCGCGTTGCGATAGTCAGTATCGCAACGCGAAATTGGAAAATCGCATTGCGATAGTCATAATCGCGTTGCGAATCTGAAAACTGATTTGCGATAATGGAGATCGCGTTGCGAATTAGCGATCTCATTGCGATTTTGTTGGTCATTTTGGCAAATCCGTAAAAAGTTGGTTAAAATCGTATATTATATGGGATTTTTGGTCACTGAGGTTATTTTCTCTTTTTGTTTTGGTCAAACTCAACAAAAACAAGTATACCACTTCAATCAGAGGCAAGTCTTAGGCGCCTCAACTTCTCAACGATTCAAGAAAACAAAATGCACCAAGAAACAATCCTAAACAAACCTCAAAATCTACACCTCATGGCATTGACAAACATTTTTCCTAACAATTCATTATCTCGGTATACGCCTCTGCCTTTCAGGATAGCCAACTAGACCTTGAAATGAAACATGAAAGGTTCCTGATGTTGGTTACCCCTCAAAACGAGATAAGAGCAAAGGCAAACCTAGAATATCAATCAGCCCTGATAGGTCACAAGATTAAAGGATAAGCTAACAGAGATTTCCAATCATTCACCAATGTTTTTCAGTGTGATTTGGAATTGCTAAATAATAATCAAGCTAACACCATATGTCAAGTAAGCATTATGTTTTTTTATTACTATTTCAACCCTACCAGAACAACCAACATCTGGATCACCATTAACATTCAAGGAGCAGCAATAAAGTTCAGAGAGGCCAAAACAACAAAACAAGCTATTCATTAATTGCAAGTTACAAGCATTGAAATATTTCTTCCTAACAAAGCAATTTTATCAAGTGCATATTCTACTAAGATCATATTAGAATAATATGCCTCCTAAAAAGCGTTCTATTAAACTAGTTCCTACTTTGTTAACAATCATGCATGTGCATCTTTGGTATGATGAAAAATTACTGAGAACTAGGAACATATATGCCAAAATTAGCCACAGGTAGATTTCTTTCATTACAAATTAGAAACGACATACTTCCTTCAAACATTACAATGTAAATAGTACCCAAAAATGATTACCCATTTTAACTGCAGAGCTAACCATTGCCTCCAAACCAAAACCCTCCTTCAATCTGCCATAAGAAAAAAACAAAAATTGTTTAAATGCCTACAATAAATCCCTTGTCAACTTCATTTTTTAATCTTCTTCTTCTTCCGTGGTTCTGAAGCAGAATTATTTTCAATTCCCTCATCAATATCTCTACTCTTCCTCTTCCTCTTCTTCTTCTTCTCCCATTCCCTTCCTTCTCCATACCTCATTTCACCCTTCTCAATTTTCACTCCATTTTCCTCAATATTTTCAAACTTTTTACCACTTTTCTCCTCCTTCTGCTTCTTTACCTCGCTCTGCTCAGTTGCAGTTTTGCTCTCATCTTCCCCAAACTTAGCCTCATTCTTCTCCTCCTTCCTTTTGGTCTCACCGTCTTTAATTCCAATTTTGCCCCCATTGTCCCGAAAATTAATTTCATCGTTCTTATCTTTCTTCTTCTTATGCTTTTTTCTGTTAGCGTCTCCGTCTCCGTGCCCGCGACTTGCCTCTTGGCTCAGCTCCACATCTTCGCGGGTCAAGTTGAATACACTTGGTTCTAGGCTCGACTCCCGAGCACCGTCCACTGTGGTCTCGGACTTGGACTTCTTGTGCTTGAGATTCGATCTAGAGGGCTTTTGGAGCTCTCTATGCAACTGTTTGAGCTCGCTGAATGAGGCGGAGGCGCGTCGAAGGTATGCACTGATGGCTTGCGACGCGCCGTTGTCTGTAGCGGCGAAGTTAGTAATGATTTTGGCTGCCTTGGAAACGGAAATCGGAGTTGAAGAGAGGATTTTGCCTGTTAGCGTCTTCATTAGGGTTAGGGATTTTCGGAGAACTCAAATCCTTAACGATCAATCTATTTTATGCTATAGGGTTTTCGGGTTTGCTGGTAAATAAACTTTATTTATTTTTAGGGTAAACTACGCCAATGATCACTGATGTTTGGGTACGTTTTCGTTTTCACTATTAATGTTTCAAAAGTTACAAATCGGTTACTAATGTTATCGTTTATGACAAATTTACCACTCGCCGTTAACAACCGTTAAGAAACGTCACGGAAATCACACGTGGACCATTTTATGCTTATCTGGAAGGTTGACCGCCCCTTTGACCGGTGTTTTACCAAATAATTTAATGAAAATTTAATTAATAAAATTAAATGGAAAAACCCAAAACCACATTAGCTTGTATTCAGTTAACCCAAAACAGAGGGGAGGTGAAATGGCTTCGGGATTCTCCGGCGGTGGTCGGGATTTTACAGTAAATTAACCGGTAGATCTGTGGGTAGCCGGACCTTTATCTCTGTTCAGCTAAGCACAAAACTTACCAGCATACTTCTCCAATTTCTCTCTTGTCTCCCATCGATTTGTCGACCAACTTGTCGTCATCGAATGTCTTAGGTAATTTCTTGTCTCATTCTTTCATGTCGCAGCGATACGGGTTGCTTCTTTTACAACAACTGAGGCCGCAACAAATTCCACTCGGTATCAACTACGACGACTCTATAATTCAGGCCCGTAACCCCGGTTTACCAGGCAACCAGTATATGAATCCGATTTCGATGTGGGTCGCACAACCGCAAGACCCAAAGAAGAAAATGATGAACCAACTTCATGAGCTAGAGAAACAACTGTTAGTCTACAAAAATGATGAAGGAGACGTTGTTTCGGTTATTACCAATACCAACAGCGAGTGGTCTGAAACTATACAGAACGCCTACTTCTTCAACAACTTCATCGTCTTCCTCCACGTCACCGATTGCTTATCCAGCTTCGACTAGTTTAAAGCAGACAATAATCTAGTTTTTTCATCAGGTACCTAAATAACATTCCATAATGAAACAAATAAAGATGCAACCATTAACAGAACACCACCAAGAATCCAACGATCTAGTGCTGAGTAGAACACAAAGAGTTTGGGTACATGGTTAACCCGGTAATGGCTGCCTTAGAAGAAAAAGGATTTTCGTATAAATGGGACTTTATACATTTTTACTACGTTGGCTTCAATGATTGAAACCAAGGTGCCAATCACTTTGGCTTGGCTGTCGCTGCTACTCTAATCGGGCTTTGTCATCCTATATGATAATCATGCATGTTTTGTTATTATCACAAGTTTTTCCTTCTTTTTTTCTGAACTGAAATAGATTACAAGAAGAAGAATATGGCTTTGGGAAGATGAAGAACCTGAGAAGGATGGAACGCAAGAAGGAAATAAACGGGATTAGGAGACCAGTTGCGCATACAACGATGGGTGAGTTGAGCTTAATCCAACGAATGCAAGGTTCTCTGATATAGCTATCCTACACAAATCAAACACCAGGAAAGAAGAAGAAGAAATCAGTCGATCGTTTTTCATTTCAAAGAAGTTAAAATAAGGTGAAGAGAGAAGAGAAGCGACCTTGTTAAACCCAGTAAAAATATATACACGAGGAGTGGGAAGGTGAAGATCGACTGGTCTGTTCTGCAGTAACAAACAAACAAAAGATAAAGAAATTGAAGAGAGAGTGGTACACAAAGAAAGGGAAAAGATAAGAGGAAATTGCAGCCTTGCAAGCACCTTTCCCTGTGAAGAAGAAAGGAAAAAGGGAGTAGCAAGAGAAAGCCAACATTATTGGTGTAAACTACAAAGACAAAAGGGCTCATTCCTCCCGTTATGGTTGTTTTGGCCAGAATAGTGAGTGCTATAGTGCAAGCTTCCATTATCCTCATCACCGTAAAAGGTGCCATTACACCGAATATTTCTCTCATCATTACGACCATCTTCCTCGCCGTTTGGCCGATGAATGGAAAAGAAGAGCAACAACAAGAAAGACTTTGATGCCACAGACCACTCTTTGGCAGCATGTAAATGTGGGGTTTTTATAAAAGATAGAGAAATAGTTTTGTTTTATGGGTAGGGAGAATAGCATTTCAAAAGAGGGTGAAGCTGCTTAGGGAATCACAGCAAAGGTTGATGGAGTGCATGTTGATAGCTCTTAAACTGAGGCTTAACTCAGTTGAAAACCCACCACCTTAAATCAAGCTGTAATAAATTTCAGTCGGTCAACCATCCAGGTAAGCATAAAATGGTCCACATGTGATTTTCGTGACGTTTTTAACGGTTGTTAATGGCGAGTGATAAATTTGTCACAAACGATAACATTAGTGATCAATTTGTAACTTTTGAAATATTAGTGGTGAAAATGAAAACTTACCTAAATATCAGTGACTATTGGCGTAGTTTACCCTTATTTTTAATCACATGAAAAGGAAAAATAAAATAAAAGCATGCAAAATAAAATAAAAGTATTCATATTATTTATTATTTTATACAAATATTTGTAGACAAAATATACAAATAATATTCCAAACATAGGAAGATTTTATTTTAAATCTGTAATCTTTTAATTATAAAATAATCATTAAATTTTATTATTATACACTTTGGTAAAAGCTTACACATCAGAATGGCATACTAAGGTTACACAGCTGAAGTTGAATGCCATTAGGTGGAGCTTAATTAGGTTACACATCATGATAACATAATAAGCTTGCTGCTCTTATTAGGGGAAAACTAGTCTTAAAATTCTACATTATTGTTAATTTAGAATTTGGATGATTAGATCCTTGAATTTAGATTGGTAAAATTGATTTCTATGTACTCCATGTGTGGGATGTCACTTAGATGGTTTCAAAATCATTTAAAGTTCAAGAAAATTTTAATTTTGGTCTACCTTACTGATATCTAATATCAAAAAATTTGAAGCACATGAGTTGGTATCAATATCTCATAGGTGGTATCGATACCTAGGTTTTTTTATTTATTTTTGTTAAACTTTGAGACCTGAATTGATATGAATACTCCTCAGCTATATATATATTATTATAAAGTATTTTCTTAGAATTTCGGATCTTATTTTGGCATCGATAACAATGATTAGATATTGATACCGCTCTACCTTGAATCACAAGATTTTAGTTCCTTTTTCAAAGTGTTTCATGTTCAAGTCGAGCATGCAGCTTGATTCATGTTTGGATTATGTTTTATCAATGCATAACATTTATGGTTTATCAATGATTTATGTTAAGAGTTAAATGTTTCGATTTATAGCATCATGTGATCATCCAGTTGTCTGACCAAATATAGTGTGTTACATTTTTAATTTGAGGTGGTTTCAAATGTGCCTTCAACCTGCAACTTGTGCCGTAAAATAGTCTATTAAAGAGAAACTGATTGCAGCTTGCTTTGGCAATTATGTCTTAGTTTGATCCATTTGCCCATCGCCCTCTAGTGTGAAGGTGTCCGGATTAGTTTCTTTTTCCCCTTAAACATGCAATACGTTTTCTAATATTATGTTTGATTGCACTGTTTTTGTTTACAGTATTCTCCGGGGAAATCGTCGATAAATAATACTGATGCCACTCAATGGGTTCATTTGATCACAACAGAAGGAAAACAGGGGAGATCATAGGTTGACAAATTACAAGAAAAAATCAGTTTGTGAATACACTACACGTTTGAGCTTGGATAACTGCAGACGGTTATCTGCAACTGTGAACCATCCTCCACATCGGTGCATTGTCTAATGAAAGCTCTCCTCCACCAAACTTCAAATGCTCTCTGTATATTTGGACAGTCATCCCCTTTGTTCAGAAACCGATCGAACCACTTCATCAAAATAATCTGTTGTTGCCTCAAAGACAGCGTAAGAATCGTCTGACTCAGCCCATCTTCCACTAGTTTCTTGTCTACTGATTTATAAGACCTTCTCATCCACCCGAAATCTTCGTAAAGTGCGTCCAGCCATGTCGACAGCAGTGAGAACCGGCTTTCTTTCGGAACCAGGATGCTTCCCCTACCTATTGCAATACAGAGTTGAGCTGTGATTCTACTGATTTCATGCCGGTACATAGTAGGGATCTTCGAGTGAAGCTCTGCAAGTTCCCTCTGATCTGCCCACAGCTTCACAAAGTCATTCGCCATTCTCTTTTCGATTAGAATATCGACAATCCACTGCAAATTGTCGGCTTCTCTAGCTATTTCAGCCATTAAAACCCCTCGGTCTCGCTTACCACCGTCCGCTCCTATAGCTTCAGATAAGCAGAGAACAAGTGAGCTAAGACATCTGTGACAGAGATGATAAAGGGTATCTTTCGAGACATCAAACCGATTGTCCTCATCCAACGAATCTTCTCTAAGCAACCGTGAAATAAGCTTTTGCATTTCTCGACGCGCTTTATCATCCTTGGCTTGAAGAACACCGCCAAGAAGGTTCAAAAGGATGCCATCCGATCTCGCAGAAGTAGATGGTTCAGACGATACTCTCTGAAGAACTTCAGGAATCGAGCCTTGAAGCTCGAGTTGGCTGAGATGGTACACAACCTTTTCCTCTTCATCCTCGGACCACGGGACAGCTTCCAAATATTCCAAACAAGAAGTAATCCCTGCATTAAACATAATGGCCGCAGATACCTACAGCAACAAACATTAATATTACAAATGCCCTGATTCTTGCAAAAATAAGAACAAATGCAAAAACTGACAAAAAGTACATACATACAAGTATATATATATAGCGCATAAATAGCTAAATTGTGGTCAGGCACATGACATATAAATTACAGAGCTTTGCTTCAAATGGAAGGGAAAGATTGGCAAAAAAAAAAAACAGACATTCATTTCAAACCAGTCTATATTAAAATCAAACTTAATAATAAACAATGATCTATAATTCTTCAAAACAGTCTATAATTAAAGAAAACCCATGATTTCTAACTGGCTAAATATTGCATGAAATGTAAAAAACCTTACAGTGAAAGCAAAATTTCATTAGAATTTATCATACCTGAAGCAAAGCCAAGACTTTGGTAACATTTTCACCAATCAATCTCTTCTTTAAATCATCACAATACATCAAAACAACAGTTTCCACATAAACCTCGACATCATCACATTCACTGATTTCCACTGTGTGAGAGACTCCTTTCTCTCTCCTCTGACTCAAGTTATCGGCAAAGAACCTACTCTTCTCAGACAAAACTCTCCTGTGCACATCCATTGACACTCTATTGCCATCTCTAGAAACTACCGTGAGCCTCACATCACTCGGTCCCAGCCCCCCGTTCTTGAAGCTGTAGGCGTTGAGTTCGGATATGAATTTGGCAACTCGGCTTTGGGTCCTTCTGCGAGATTCTTCCATGGTTTTGGAACCACGAAGGTTTTCCTCAGACATCATCTCGAAGAGGGTGGGATTGTTGAGACTCGGTCGAGTTGGCTCGGCTGGAGGAGGTAGAGGAGAAGAGGAAGGGGAATAGAGCCTTGGGGGAGTTGTTCTTGATGGAGAGAAAGATAAAGAGAGTGTCGGGTCTGAAATAAACCCTTGTTTTATCATCGCTGATACTTCTTTTGAAGCCATTGAAAGAGGGGGGAAAATAAAGCTTTTTTCCCCAATAAATGAAGTCAATAAACTGGGTTAGGCTTGGATTCAAGGGAGAAGAAAAAAGAGAGGGGGAACTATCTTGATTCCATTGATTATTAAAAAAAACAAAAGAAGCTCTTTGAAAAGGGTATAAAAGAACAAAAACTGGGTTTTCTCAGAAGATTGATTTATCGCCAAATAGGCAACCCTGGGAAGGAAGGGGGGATTTTCTTGCACAGTTGATCATTTTTTTCCCGAGAAAGTAAAGAGAGAAGCTGAATTGTCCTGAGAAAAAAGAGAGAGGAAAAGAATCCAAGAAATGGCAAGGCTTTGGATCTGAGATTTCATTGAGAGAGTGTGTGCGCGCGCGCTTAGTAAAAGCAAAGCAAATGGCAGAAGAGGTGTTGTAAATGTAATTAAGGGGAAATGCTTAAGCTAATTATGGTTTTATTTCCTTTGCATAAAACATTAGGCCAAAAAAAAAAACTGACCGCATACGCACGTGTGAGCACGTGACTTCTGATTGATTAGGGACCCACTGGCCTTAACATAAAGTTAACCTAAAAATTGTGCAACACCATAGGTTTCTTTCATGAAACTTCGTTGCACTGATTAGCTTAATTGGTTCCTTCTATCATTGTCTTCATTTGAAGTTTTTGCTATTGAAGTCTTAGTTTCTTAGGATTGTCCAGGAAATGCGGGTTAATATATGATGTTTTCAGATATATTAAAATATATTTAATAAATTCAGTTTAGCGTTATCGAAAATATTGAGTAATAATAATGTAGTAGGTCTAAATCAGTAATAATAATGTAGTAGGTCTAAATCAGTAATAATAATGTAGTAGGTCTAAATCATGAAGAAATATTAAAAAATTTGGCAACCGGAAAACTTAGCTTGTCGGTTTATGTTGATACTTTATAAAAATGTATCGATCCACATTAATATAACGTGTAAAAATATGACAAAACCGGTAAAGCGCTACCGGATATATTGAAATTGTCGATACTTTAATATAAGTATCGACACTTTGTGAATTTAAAAGAGAAGCAGTTTTAACGCCTATAAAGTGTCGATATTTTATAACAATGTATCGATCCACAACGATATAATAGGTAAAAATATGACAAAATCGGTCTCTAAAGGACAAAATCAGTATAGAGCGACCAAATATATTGAAAGTGTCGATACTTTAATATAAGTATCGACACTTTGTGAATTTAAAAGAGAAGCAGTTTTAGCGCCTATAAAGTGTCGATACTTTATAAAAATGTATCGATCCACAACGATATAACAGGTAAAAATATGACAAAACCGGTCTCTAAAGGACAAAACCGGTAAAGCGCTACCGGATATATTGAAAGTGTCGATACTTTAATAAGTACAAGTATTAAATTATCGATACTTTTAAAGAAATAGGTAATTATACTATCGAAAGTATCGACACCTGACATAAAAGTATTGACACTTTGGTAGTTATATCGATTAAATATAAATAACATATCCAGTGAAAATATAAAGGGCATAGTTAAATATCTTCTGAAAAATAGATAGAACAGATGAGTTTTTGAAATCGAAGCGTAATTGTTGCATTTCAGAAGGCGTTTCTAAAGCGAAATTTATTTGTGTGTTGTTGTAGTCGAATCGAAAAGTATGTTGTTGAAACCCTAGTTTTTTATTATTACAATAATCGGAAATAGGATTTTTATGTGTTGTTTGGGGTTTTGGAGTAAAGAAGCATTTGAGACTGATTACAGGTAGAAAGTGATATTCTAGGTAAAATATAAATATCGATACTTTTATTAAATATTATAGGTAGAAAATGATATTATAGGTTGTATAAATGTGTTGATACTTGGTGTAACACCCCAACCCGTATCCGACCCGGATACGAATTCGAGGTGTCACATTGACTTTTAAAAACATGTACTTGTATAAAATAGTGAGTAATTTAAAACTTTTATAACATATAAATAACTAATTTACATAAAAGACATTTTCATTATTACAAAACCAATCAGAGCATGTATCTTTCACTTATTATTTACATATAACTATTCGAAACATTTATAAAACGGTTCATAGTTTAAACAATAGATTCTTTTGAAAACATGCCAACTAGAACTTTATATACTAAAATACCTATTATTCACATCTTTTCTGATCTGACCTTTAGTAAGAAGAACTGACCTGTCTTGCTCCACATTGCTCTTTACTCTTCTCGAAACCTACGTGTAAATCACTTACACGCTAAGTCAAAGACTTAGTGAGGCATATAAACATATAAGGTAAACGGTAACTAATAATCATACCTAAACAATTACTACTATAATTTCATACCACTCATACTTTTACATGTAACAAATATATGCATACATATATGTCGTTATCATTCATATCTCTTATCTCATGTTCCTATGATCTCTTATGTCCATATCATATAACATATACCATAACCAATTGCACATATACATATCATGTAGTGTACACTATATATATATACTATCATAAAACACGTACACCCAAACGATTATATTATCATCTTCATTTCTTTCTTATCTTATCACTATCATTGATTCCTTTCATTATATGGTCTTATAAGTTACCATTTGTACAATCAATATCACCCATGAAATTCCACAAGGAAACAAACATATTATCATATCATTTTATTAATATTATCTATTTAATATCCCATGATACTTATGTGAGAACTAAAGATATGCGAGTACATAGAGGTTGTGCACTAATGCTGTCACCACATCTCATATAATTGCACCGAAGTGCCACATATAATTGCACCGGAGTGCCGCGTAGAATTGCACCGTAGTACCATATAATAATTGCACCGGAGTGCCGCGTAGAATTGCACCGTAGTGCCATATAATAATGTCCATAAGGACCACATATCATTCCTTAAGAATCATATACATATACTAGGAATCAAGTATGTGTCTCACCAGACTTCACACATGTTCCAAAGAATACATATATGTCCCGAAGGACCACATATCATTCCTTAAGAATCATATACATATACCAAGGATCAAGTATGTGTCTCACCAGACTTCACACATGTTCCAAAGAATACATATATGTCCCGAAGGACCACATAGACCCTCGACTCTTGGCATGCCAACTATACCCCTAGCTCTCATGACACATAACATGGGCATTATCTTTTATATCCTTTTACATATTCATGTAACCATATCATATATTCATATAAGCTCATGGTTTCCTTCACATATACATGTAATCACGTAGTTCATATCTATTCTCATATGAGTTCATATTCATATAAATATAGGATTCACTTTCACATATCACATATACTTTCTCTTTCATATAACTCATGTCTTGTGATCATGTAAACACGTATCACATAATATAACATGTCAAACAAATCACACAACTGATATAATATTCTCATATATTCATGTAGTTCAGTATCACATATCATATGAATCATATAAATCATGTCACATATACTCATGCATACATAAAATTCACAAATCAAATAACATTTTAAGAGTTACTTATTACCATAGTAACTCCGTCACTGGCTCATTGCAAGCCAATGCTTATTCGATAACATAAGTACAATGAAATTGCACTCACCTGGCCTCACTAGTCCATTCCAATCTCTTATATTCCCTTTTTATCGATATTACTTGTCAATGATTTCGGAACTCGTTTAGGCTCTGAATCTACATAATTATACATTTTAAGACAATTATTAGATACCTACACCTTGTAATTTGATACTAGAAACTTAAACGAACTTATTAAACCAATATTTACAATTTTCCTTTAGGGGGAATCGGTTCCCTCCTGTGGGGGTATCGGTTCCCCCTTGACATTCTGGAATTATGTCGTTTGAGAGGGTATCGGTACCCCTTTGAATGGGTACCGATTCCCCCTAACCCAGAAATCATTTTTCAGCACGAAAATTACTTCATTTCCTCTCAAACACTCCATATATCATCCCCTTTTTCATTCTTAACTCTAGTACACATACTTAAACCAATCTATATTCATTTATTTCATCTTAAACCTCAAAATTCTATCTTCCATATGTAATTCAATAATTACATCAATTCTGCAATATGTTTCAAATCCAATTCTATTACTCCTAATCTCTTAATTTAACTATTGACAAGTCAAATTCAACTTAAAATTCAACTTATCAACTTTATTTCAAGATTTCATTCAAAAACTCAAAATCTTTAATCTCTCCTAATTCCACCATCCTTTGTTTTTAAGAGGATTTAAGCTTTCCTTAAGCTTAGTTATCATCTAATAACCAAAACCCAACCTTAAAATCAACAATTCATTTATAAACAAAGAAACTTACCTTTGGCTCTTGGCTTCCACGTGAAGAAGAAGAAGATAGGAGAAGATAACTCTGGAGAATTCTCTCCCTTTCCACGTATATATAATTCCATTTTTAATTCCTTAAATGATCAAATGACCATTTTACCCTTTATTTCCTTTAATAATTACTAAATAACCTTCATCATATATATTCAATAATCATTAAACTATTTCATTCTTCTACTTTAGTCATCAAATTCTGAAACTTTACAAATTGGTCACTAACCCATAATTTGGGATGTTACACTTAGAGTATTGAGTGTTCCTATTCGTTTGAAGGAAATAGGGATTAGGGTTTTTAGGTTTAGTTTGGGGATTTCGAATTGAAGCCAAGAAGGATTTGGGACCGATTATATAATATTATAGGTAGAAAATAAATATGGATATCTGTATATAATATTATAAGTAGAAAATGATATTTTAGGTTGTATAAATGTGCCGACACATTTTGTAGTGGCCATTCAATTTTTTTTGAAGAAAATGTTTTACCACAAGAGTAGTTATCTATATTTGTATATTGAATAAAGTGTATGTAACAAGTATTTGATTTAATTTGTGTAAACTGATATATGAAGGAAAAATGGAGTCAATGGGTGGAAAAATTGTTGTTGACGCAGATGACTTTGAAATTGAGGCTGAGACTCGAAAGCAACCAAGGGGTGAATATATGTACTTCTAGTAAGTATCAATGTCTTTTTGTTATTATTGTTGGAATGGTAATTAGATTAAAGTATTTAAGAACTTTAAATTGATTATAAATTTTAAATGTTGACTGTATGACCGAATGCCAAAGGATGAAGGAATGTGGCGAACACATCAGTTCGGTATGTAAATTAAAATTGACATTGAGTATTATTTAGCATTAATGTATTGATTAAGAAAAGTTTATGCTTAATATTAGGTGAGAAATGATGTGTTGAAGAAATGAAATTCGATGAGTGATGCTGATAATGAACCTTACATCGCACAATCAAAGATGGATAATGAAGAATACAAAGAATGGAGAAAAGCACATGAAAATAATGTATTCATTAAACTTGTAAATACGTTGATACAAAATATATAAGAACTAT